CCTGCTGGGCCACACACGGCTCTCCTGCTATCATAGTGTCACCTTATTCCTGCAGACTTTGGTCCCCAAACATTTCTCTCTTCCTGCCCTGCACAGGATCTCTTCTCTTACTGCCACGCTGCACATGCATAGCCGGAAAAAGACAAAAGGAAAGAGAGCCCAACGTGGGCAAGGCCAACGCAAGAAAATCCAGAAATCCAGCACGGGGCGAACCACTAAGACTCAGCGACGGAGGCTGACAGGCAAAATGGGCCGTGACCAAGATTAACGGAGAAGCTCGTGCTCAGGCCAGCAGCTGGGACAGTGCTCCACATCTGCCCTGCTGCTCTCTGGGGCTCCTTCATTGTGGGCAAGGGCCTTGTTTACTTGGCTGTCTGACCAGCGGTGAGCCCAGTTCAGCCTTTCTGTCACCTCCTGAGCTCTGGCCAGGGTGACCACTCTACCCATTTATTTCTGCAGTGATCTCCAGCTAAGTGTCTGGGTGCCATGGAGTCTCTAAAAACTTCTACTGAGGGTCACATTCTCTATTTGGTGTAACCCTTCTGTCCTTGGGCCTCCCCTTCCAGAGCTGATACTTGGCTTTATCGAAGGAGAGGATCTGGGGTAGGGTGCAAGAGGCGCATCATCAGGGTAATTTTTGAGACTTGGAAGAGCTCTGCTTCCACTCGTGCATCAGTGTCCTGGCGTTTCTGCTGTGCAGTAAATCCTTTTTCCATGGAGACATGGAGTCATCTTGTCTCATGGTTTTCTTCTCCAGTGCCACACCTGAATACAGAGGTACTTTTTATTTGGTACCTGTGCCAGGTAAAATTTAGTAACTTTGTGAATAAATCTTTATGAAGTCATTTTGCTAAGAAAAAACGTTTGTGACTTATTTGAAGCATAACGGCAACTGTGCTATGCCAGTACTGGCTGGAAAGAGGGGAGATGTTTCCTGGTGCTTAAAGGATATTGAAATCCAGTGGTGCTTGGGAAATGGAAGAGCTAGGAGCTATTTCGGCTGTAACACAGAGCCAGCCAGAGCAGGAACGGCTCATTTCGTTGTCTGCTGAATATGCCAATCTCAATTGCGATAGCTGTGGGGAGTATGAAATGCCCTAATGCCCTTGCTGTACGTGTGTGGCCCTCTCTGGGATGGGAGTGGCAGAGGCTGCCCTTGGCCTTTACCTCAGGGCTGCTGCAGTCATCAGCAGTTAATTGCCTTTCTTCTTGGGACCTCAGTGTATATTTTTTTCTTCTTTTAGCATGGGTGCCTTCAGCAAGGGGGGACAAAAAAAGAAGTTTGCATGGTTGAGGAATATCGGTGGCAAAACTATGGGTGAATGGTCTGAGGAGAGCGAGCCTAGGCAGCGTGCTGACGCCTGTCCTGAAGTATCTGTAGGAGATGGTGGCCATTCTGCCTCTGTCAGCTAGGCCTCCTCCCATGCCACATGTGTACTGGCAAGGAAATTAAAAGGAAGAAAAGGCCTGTGTGGCCAAAACCCACACCAGAAGATTGGCAACTCGGCAATGGGCGAGTACATACATTCTTTGTGCCAGAAATGGGAGGGGAAGGAGTAAACCAGTGCCTGAGGCTTCATGGGGGAACATCAGAGCAATTCTGATGGCAACCAGCCACTAAAGCTAATGGCACCAGCCTGAGGTATCTCTCCCATCACTTCTTGGAGCACGCACACATGTGTGCACACACACAGAAATTCTTCAGGGTATGTTGAGGAGGAGGGTATAATGTCAGCACTGACAGCAGCTACACAATTTCTCATTGAGTATCTTCCTCTGGAGGGAACTTGTGGTGAAGAACGGGGTCCTTTTGCACCTCCCTTTCTCTTCCAAAGAAGGTAAATGGTGGGGAAGTGGACACTGTTATCCTGTGTGCAGCAGGTGCCTCGTGTGCTTGGATTCGAGTGCTATCCTGGGCTGAGTTCTTAGGCACTAACGCTGAATAACCTGGGTCACATCATGTGTGTGGTTTCCTCGCCTCCAAAACAATTCTTGTATGCTGCCTTAAAGGCCACTCTAGAAAGCTCATGGGGTTTAATGCGTGACCTTGCCCACCTTCCTGTCTCACCTGAGGGTGTTGGGTGTTCCAGAGCTGCAAAAAACACAACTTGGAGGCAAGGCCAAAAGTCTGATGCTGGACTGGATCTCCTCCAAAGTACCCAAGAAGTGCCGTGTGTGGAGCACAAAGCGTTTCTCGTTCTGCTTTGGGAGTTACATGCTCTAGAGCCCTTCTGCGGCTGTTGGGTTTGAGAGGGGTGTAGGAGGGAAGGGGAGGAAAGTTTTGTTCAGAGTGGTATACCACACCAAGGGGACTGCACCTCAAAGCTGGAGGACAGTGTGACAACCTCAGTCTGGGTCGTACAGCAGCTTTCCCTTCTCTCGGGGACACGGTGCCTTGTAGAGTGACCGTGGGCAGAAGGTAACTTGCGCTTCCTCATGCCAAGACTTTGCTCTGGAGCTGGGATGGCCACTGTAAAGGCAATGTACAGTCTGTCTGTTTGTGAAATCTGCTGCAGTGTGGAGGGTGAATTTTGGGTTGGGTTGCCTTCCGCAGCCTGTAGACAGCCTGGCATGGTAGTTGGGACAGCGCTGGATTACCTCATTGTAATGCTGATGCGATGTTAAGAGTGACCTCAATAGCACTTCAGGGTTTGTTATTTTGCTGCCAGGTGATTTAGAAGAATCTCTCTTAGTTTGCTGTTTCCCTGGCCCTAAAAACTTCAGAGCCTTTCTCAAGTGTCAGCTGAAATCTCCAATGGCCTCTTCCACGCTCTGAAAGCTTCCAGTTCCTGCCAGAAGTTCTGTTTTCACATTAAAACAGAACAAAAGCATATGGAAAAACTGAGAACAGAACTGTTAAATCCTATATGGCATTACCCATCAGGATTTTTCGCTGCACTATTGATTTCTCCATTTGATCGATTAAAGCTGTATTTTGTAATGTAAATTACTGACTCAGCCCTAGCCTGCTGTCTTTGTTACATGCAGGGTGAGCAGTCAGGCTACCCCAGGATATATTGGATCAAGGATATGAGCTCCCACACCCAAGTTAGTGCGCTGTTTGCCAGACACATCACAGTTCATACCAGACTGTGGCTTAGAATTCTTTTTGTTTGCTGCTTCCCCTTGTTTTCCAGATGGATTTGAGCTTCCCCCTGCCCCAGCTGCTCACAAACAAGTCCCAGCTGTTCAGGAGGAGGCCGCTTCCGAATAGAAGGTACCTGCAAAAATGAACATGATAGTGCAGCCACTGCTCCGAAAAGGAAAATCAGAGACCAGCAGTTCCCAACGCGCTTCCCCCTTCCACAGCCTACGCACAGGCTTTTCACGCTTGCCTCCGCAGCCAGGCCACCTCGGGCACCTGCGCGTTACTTGTGCTTGTGCCCGAGGGCTCACACGGAGAGATGTGAGGCTTTGACATGGGCTGCCACGCTGAGGTTTCCATGCATGATGGCTTTTGCTGGCTAGACTCCGCTTCCGCACACATGCACGCACAGAAGTATAATTGGAATTACAGAGGATCAGAACCAGACTGGGAGCTTAAAAGGTCAGACAGTTGGGGGAAAAATAGGAGCGCCGTGCAACGGAGGCATGGTTGCAGCATGTGCAGGAGCTGTGTGCTAATGAACACACTGTATTTATTGCTCTTAAGTAGAGTATCAGGCTCAAGGCTGTAGAGTCCCACTGCTGCTTCCAGCAGCATAGTGCAGAAATGAACTGGGGAAAAGAGTTACTGGGAGAGTGGCAAGAACTTTTGGGGACTAATGGAGCTGAATAATTGGGGTTGTCTGGGAAAGACAGGTTTGAAGAGTGGATTGCAAACTGCCTTCAATGGGTAAACAAAAAGTGAAATTAAACTTTTTTAACACTCACCAGGACCAGGAAGAGAAGGAAGTTGAATTGTATCAGCAGCAGCGGAGGACAGATGTTAAGCATGTTCCATTAGAAATAGCGAGGCTCAGGCAGGGTTTGTGCTTGGCAGGTGAAGCCCAGGTTAGACAAACCTCTCGGTGAAGTGCTGTGTGTAGAGATGCCCTCATGTTGGAGCTGTGCTGGGGACACGGTGACGTTTGACTGTCTCGGTGCTTGCAGATGAGCCCGCTCCTTTGGCACCTGTTTAGGGCTCAG